TGTGCGGACCCGAAACGTTAGCACTGTATGACAGTATGTGACATTGGGTATTGAATAAACATATCAATACTTTAAAAACCCTTCAAGTGTGTGCCGGTGAATTACTTTTATTTACTATTAGTGTTTTGCACGGCGCCATCCGTGTGGTCACCTGGGCACCACATATACCTTGTGGTTTTGAGACCGTGGCAGTGCGAATGGGATTTGGACTTTGAGGTGAGAAGACCTGGCTCATAATTGGCGTTCCAATTCATCCCAAAGGTGTTTGGTAGGGTTGAGGTCAGGATATGATGTTAGGTGAGAAGACCTGGCTTGCATTGAACATTCATAGTTACATAGTTACATAGTTAGTCAGGTTGAAAAAAGACACATGTCCATCAACTTCAACCTATAGACATATGAAAAAAAAAGCTTAAACAGAACGCTATGCCCACAATTACCCCCTGTTGATTCAGAGGAAGGCAAAAAAAAAACCCATATAAGGCATGGTTCAATTTGCTCCAACAGTGGAAAAAAATTCCTTCCTGATCCCATAAGGCAATCGGATATTCCCTGGATCAACAATCTCTGATGCTTAATATACCTCTAAGAACTAAATATCCAGTAATATTCTGTGCATTTAGGAATACATCCAGATCTTTTTTCAAAACAAGTAACTGAGCTCTCTAGAACTAGCTCCTGGGGGAGCCTATTCCACATTTTCACAGCTCTAACTGTAAAGAATCCTTTCCGTATACAAAGGTTAAACCTCTTTTCCTCCAGACGCAAAGAGTGCCCCCTTGTCCTTTGCAGTGATCTTAAAGTGAATAATTTGGCACCAAGCTCTTTATATGGACCATTTATGTATTTATACCTGGTGATCATGTCCCCCCTTAATCGCCTCTTCTCCAGAGAGGACAAGTTCAGGTCAGCTAACCTTTCCTCCATGGCCTCTTATCAGTTTAGTCGCCCTTCGCTGTGCTTTCTCCAGTTCCACAACATCCTTTTTGTGAATTGGTGCCCAAAACTGAACTGCATATTCCAGATGAAGTCTTAACTGCAGCTTGACATTGCATGGTATTATTCAGTCTATGATCTACCAGAACACCCATCATTGACTCCCCCAAACATACTCCCCCCAGAGTGTTTGACACATGCATGTTTTTAGTCCCCAAGTGCAGAACTTTACATTTATCAACATTAAACCTCATTTGCGAGATAGATGCCCAATCACACAGAGCATTCAGCTCTGCTTGTAGGTTGGAGACATCATGTAAGGACTGTATTCTACTACATAACTTAGTGTCATCTGCAAACACAGAAAAAGTACTTTTAATCCCCAATTCGATGTAATTTATAAATAGATTAAACAATAAGGGACCCAAAACTGAACCTTGGGGAACACCACTAACAACCTCAGACCATTAAGAGTATTCATTCCAGAGGTGTTCAGTAGGGTTGAGGTCAGGTACTGATGTTGGATGAGGAGACCCAGCTCACAATCGGTGTTCCAATTCTTCCCAAAGGTGTTCAGTAGGGTTGAGGTCAGGTACTGATGTTGGATTAGGAGACCCAGCTCACAATCGGTGTTCCAATTCATCCCAGAGGTGTTCAGTAGGGTTGAGGTCAGGTACTGATGTTGGATGAGGAGACCCAGCTCACAATCGGTGTTCCAATTCATCCCAAAGGTGTTCAGTAGGGTTGAGGTCAGGTACTGATGTTTGGATGAGAAGATCTGGCTCACAGTCAGCATTCCAATGAATCGCAAAGGTGTTCAGTAGGGTTGAGGTCAGGGCCCTGTGTAGGACACTCAAGTTCCTCCATAGCAAACTGGTCACACCATGTCTTAAAGGAGCTGGCGTTGTACACAGGTAACAGTCATGGTGGAACAGAGAATGGTCTTCACCAAAGTGTTACCAAAAGGCTGGAAGAGCACAATTGTCTACAATGTCTTTATATGATGGAGTATTAATAGAATATTTAATGGAAAGACCTGATTTGGAGGGGGTGTTGCATACTTTTAGCCATACAGGCAGGTGTGATGGTCAGATGGCCACATATTTATGGCTATATGATATATTTATAAACCCAATCACTAAAATCTCATAAAATCTGTAACAAGTTGATGTATTTTCAAAAGTAATTTTCAGATATTTATCAATCTGTAGCTTTTATTAAGGTACTATCTGGTGAATCTGCCGTGATGGACCATGTTTGGGCACTTCTGGTATGTTGTGACAGCTCTTTGTCCACATCTCCCAATTGCGCTCCTGAATTGTCATCTTGTCACATGGGCTTCCAATGGAGACTTCAACAGACAGGGTCCACTGTTGTCACCATCAGGAAAGCCAGCCCTGAGAAAATGCCATGCAGCCATCGCTGGGGTGCATGTAGACAGGACGTGGAAGGGTGTCAGGGTGCACGTGTGCTCAGTGTTTCAAAGTCCTACTGTTTATTTAGAATTTTATGATTTTCATGGATAAAAGTAGAAGTTTGGTTTTAGGGGGAAACCCATGTGAGTTTTTGAGCAAAGCTGGCATTTTTGTTGGCTAAAAAAAATGGCAACCCTTTATTAGTATTCATGATGCTTTAGCAAACTAAATGTAGTTGATTTAGCTTTAAGAAAGGAAAGAATTAGGATCTCCACACCTGGTCCATTAAAGTCAAGGGCTTGTTCAATTAGGATCTCCACACCTGGTCCATTAAAGTCATGGGCTTGTTCAATTAGGATCTCCACACCTGATCCATTAAAGTAATGGGCTTGTTCAATTAGGATCTCCACACCTGGTCCATTAAAGTCATTGGCTTGTCCAATTAGGATCTCCACACCTAGTCCATTAAAGTCATGGGTTTGTTCAATTAAGATCTCCACACCTGATCCATTAAAGTAATGGGCTTGTTCAATTAGGATCTCCACACCTGGTCCATTAAAGTCATAGGCTTGTCCAATTAGGATCTCCACACCTGGTCCATTAAAGTCATAGGCTTGTCCAATTAGGATCTCCACACCTGGTCCATTAAAGTCATTGGCTTGTCCAATTAGGATCTCCACACCTAGTCCATTAAAGTCATGGGTTTGTTCAATTAAGATCTCCACACCTGATCCATTAAAGTAATGGGCTTGTTCAATTAGGATCTCCACACCTGGTCAATTAAAGTCATGGGCTTGTTCAATTAGGATCTCCACACCTGGTCAATTAAAGTCATGGGCTTGTTCAATTAGGCTCTCCACACCTGATCCATTAAAGTCATGGGCTTGTTCAATTAGGATCTCCACACCTGGTCCATTAAAGTCATAGGCTTGTCCAATTAGGATCTCCACACCTGGTCCATTAAAGTCATGGGCTTGTTCAATTAGGATCCCCACACCTGACCCATTAAAGTCATGGGTTGTTCAATTAGGATCTCCACACCTGGTCCATTAAAATCATGGGCTTGTTCAATTAGGATCTCCACACCTGGTCCATTAAAGTCATGGGCTTGTTCAATTAGGATCTCCACACCTGGTCCATTAAAGTCATGGGCTTGTTCAATTAGGATCTCCACACCTGGTCCATTAAAGTAATTGGCTTGTCCAATTAGGATCTCCACACCTGGTCCATTAAAGTCATTGGCTTGTTCCATTAGGATCTCCACACCTGGTCCATTTAAGTCATGGGCTTGTTCAATTAGGATCTCCACACCTGGTCCATTAAAGTCATGGGCTTGTTCAATTAGGATCTCCACACCTGGTCCATTAAAGTCATGGGCTTGTTCAATTAGGATCTCCACACCTGGTCCATTAAAGTCATGGGCTTGTTCAATTAGGATCTCCACACCTGGTCCGTTAAAGTCATTGGCTTGTTCAATTAGGATCTCCACACCTGGTCCGTTACAGTCATGGGCTTGTTCAATTAGGATCTCCACACCTGGTCCGTTAAAGTCATGGGCTTGTTCAATTAGGATCTCCACACCTAGTCTGTTAAAGTCATGGGCTTGTTCAATTAGGATCTCCACACCTGGTCCGTTAAAGCCATGGGCTTGTTCAATTAGGATCTCCACACCTGGTCCATTAAAGTAATTGGCTTGTTAAAATTTGACATATTTTGGCACAACCATTACTATAGTAGTACAATAAAAAAAATATTGAACCACCAAGGGTACCTGTCCTGTATTCCTTCTGTAAATCCCTGCCATTTTCTGTAGAAAGATATTACCCTGCTACCTGGTTCTCTCAACACAGAGCACCACCATTGGGCCAAAATTAGCAGGCCCTCCGCTCTGTCTTTGTCATCTTGTGATTTGTTTGACGTGAACATGGAAAGCAAAGAATTATATTTTTATAGGATGAGAAACAGTAAGCCCTAATGCTTCCTTCAGTAATCCCGCAGATTATTAAACAAACCGAACACAACACCAGTCTGTATCTCAAAATACAAACCAGCCATGGTTGACATCCGCACAATGTAACCCACCAACTCTAAGAAAAGCAACTCTTGTGGAAATATTGATATTTATATTGGCTACACGAGTCTTCTTGTATAGTAATGTTCTTAAATGTGATTTGTTTGAATCTACATCTATAATTGTATTTTAAAAATACACAATGCAACTTTTTTTGCAACCACGCTACCAGTATTCTCTGTAGAGCAGTGGTTCTCAACCTGTGAGTCGCGACCCAAAAGTGGGTCAAAACTCACAGTTGAGGGGGTCGCCAGTGCTTTGTGCTGCGCTAGGTGAGAGGCTCCTCAGCCACCTCCTAGAGCAGCGGTGTCCGTTATCCAGCCGCACCGCTAGATGGCTCTGCGGCGGCGGACGGGGACGATCAAAGAGAGGGGAGCGGGTGGGATTGAGGGGAGGTGAGTGCCAGTGATCTATCAGTAGCCGCACTGACCACCACAGAGCCCGCACTGGCCACCTGTGAGGCCGCACTGGCAACCACAGAGCCACACCGACCACCTGAGAGCCCGCACAGCCTCCTGAGAGCCTGCACAGATACTAGTATTGGTGCATCCCTAAATTTTACTGTTGGGGGTCACCACAACTTGACAAATGTTACCAAGGGGTCCTGGCCCTAGAAAGGTTGAGAACCACTGCTGTAGAGGATGCAGTGGTTGGCTCGGTGGTTTTCCCAGAAGTCTGCACAGAACTTGAGCCTCCCCCGCTCGGTCACTTGTGTTTTTTGCAATGAGACCTTCATCTGTTGTGATGTACAGACCATAAGTCAGTAAGAGTCCATTCAGGTCTTTGCATTCCAGTAAAGTGCAGCAAAAGGCACCTTTAACTGTATGTTCCTGCAACAAGCAGCGCTGAGAACACCTCATGATACATTGTGGTGTCCTAAATTCGCTCACCGAACCAGGCAACGCGCATGGACTGCGGGCCACCACATCACACACATTATGTTTTGCAGAGGGCAGCAGTTGAAAAAGCTTCATGACAGATGTTTTTTTGTGCATTGGGCTACCTTAAAGGAATTGCAAAGTCCCAGCATATATTATCCCCATATAACATAAAAAATCAGTAACCGAGGAGCAGATTGCAAGACGGAGAAGGAAAAATGTAATCGTGCACAGCAAACCAGGTCGGGCATACACAAGCAACAAACAGGTCAGGTTGCAGGAATACCTGGGGACCCCTCAACACGCAAGGTATAGAGTCAGTAGGCAGGTGGAGTCAGGAGCAATCCAAAATGAGTAACCGAGGAGCAGAGTGCAAGGTCGGGTAGCATAAAGGTAATCTGGTATAGCAAGCCAGGTCAGTCATACACAAGCAACAACCAGGACAGGTTGCAGGAACACTTGGAAACCCCTCAACGCCGACTTCAGCTAAGACTGAGCCTTAAAGGAGCTGTAAAGAACTAGCATAGACTCTCCTGTTATAACACCCTGTTACATCCAATTGTAATAGAAACACATACTATATTTGTGCCAAAATCCCATTTTTTTTTGGGGGGGGGGGAC